CACTAGTAAACATTTTAAACACATCAAGGTGCATTAACACTTAAGAGAGGACTGAAATATGAACTACTATTACAAGAACCACATGTATTTCAGAACATGCTGACAAATGTTATAAAAACAAAAGGGACCTTCAATGACAATGCTTTGCAGTTGTGTATTAGAGATTAGACAATGGATCAAAAACTCACAACCAAACTGGCAATAATAGATGAGTTATTGCAGTGGTTGAGCTGTAATTTATTTTCTTTTTTTTTTTTTTTCTTCTATAATTCTACTCAGAAAAATTAATAAATTCAACTCGGGAAGCCCTCTGCATCCAAGGAATGCTCAGTCAGTCCCAGTCCCCACCAACAGAGGGCAGTGGCGGTGGAATGGGTTCTCGAAGGGGCAGCCTCACAAGCCTGAGCAGTGTGACGTCCATGTTGGAGGAGAAGGACGATGAGAAGATCCGTTGCTGTCACCACTGTATGGACACACTGTTGAAACGGCAGCAGAAGCTTGATGAAAAAGACTTTGTACCTGACATTGTCAAACTATATGAGGTTTGTATTGAAACTAACTAACTTTTAAGTTTAAGATGATTCTATGTCTAGTCTATGAGAAATAAAAGTATGTATCTCAGTTTTACTTGTGAGATCACAAGTAAACATAAGAAACATTATTTTTCATGACTGTGTCCATTCATAAGTAATTTTTTTCTGATAGAGACTAAGGTTGTGCATGGAGAAGGTGGATGAAAAAGCACCAGAATATATTCGAATGGCAGAGTCTCTCAAGTAAGATCTGATACAATACTACAGCACAGAGATTACTTCAGTGTCTTTCAGTAATTGCTGTAATTTCTGTGATGTCCATTTGCAGTGCTGGGGAAACTGCGTATAATCTCGACACTGCTGGTGGTTTGAGGCTAGAAGTTCAGAAATACTATGAACTTATTGATGCTCTTAGGTAAGCTTTTTATTTATTTTGTGTATATTGCTATACAATTTACACATTTCTAAGATGACATTACATGTTATTCCTGTTATTTCTAGTAAAAAGATTTTAACACTGGGATTAAAAAGTGAACCACCGCCTCATCCAAAAAATCTGCAGCTCCAGAGGATGATCCGATATTCAGCCACACTATTTGTACAGGTAACAATTCAAGTCAATAACAAATGCAGTTCATATTTTTTGTCTCAAATAAAGTAATTTCTGTGTTTTAGGAGAAACTATTGGGTCTTATGTCTTTACCCACCAAAGAAAAATATGAAGAGTTGAAAGAAAAAAGAGCACAAGAACAAGAAAAGAGACTCCAACAAGAAAGACTGGTGAGATACGTTTGAACATGTTATTAGGTCAACACAACAAACTGTTATGCACTCATTATGTATAATGACACCTCTTTGGAGCCAGAATTAACTTTTGAGCTACAGAAAAAGGTCTACTAGATCAGACCACAGAGCTGAGACTTTTCTATCCACTTTTCCTTCTTTTGATAGATACTGACCACTTAAGAAATCATTACAAGACTCATCCAGCATCTTATCAATCTCAACTGTTATTATTGACATTGAAATCTGGTTTAACTCTTTGATCTAAATTTTGCTTTTGCCCAATATATCCCACACTGACCATACACTAATGGGTGCCATGATGGGTGTGTTATTTACTTTCTTGTCAGTGATCATAATATACCTGATCTATATACAGTTTATGTTAATATTAGGGTTATTTATGTTTATTTATACTGGTCCATGTTACACAGGCTGCACAAGAGGCATTGAAGCGAAGACAGGAGAGAGAGAAAGACGACAGAAGTCGTCCTAATGGAGAATTACCACAAGTATTGAGAGGTCCACGCATGACCAAGGCCGGTGGCTGGTTACCCTCCTCTGACACACGCAGCGAAATCGAAGACCCCCTGCTTCAACAGATCGAGAACATCCAGTCCTTTTTACGGCAGGCCAGAGAGGCAAATAGGGCAGATGAGGTTGCCATGTTGGAGGAAAACCTACGACAGCTTCAGGATGAATATGACCAACAGCAAACAAGCCTGGCTATTGCCCTGTCCCAGAAGTTGGCAGAAGAGGAAACTTTGCAACAAGGGGAACTGCAACGATTGGAGGAGAAGGAACGAGAGGAGAGAGAGAGCCGGGAAGCTAATATTAGCTTTCTTCAGACACCGTATACTTGGGAAAAATCTTTAGATATCACGCCACAGACTGGATTGAGAAGAGATGAGGATACAGCAGTAGTGGAGGACCAAGGTCCTAGAGCTGACAGGAGCCCTAACTCCCTCCGGGTTTTGCCTGATAACCCAGAAGAGTCACCTCCCAGGTTGAGAAGTTTGGGTGGACATGTAACTCCCCCTAGTGGCGAAGGACAGAGTAGCATCTCACTTAACCCTTTCGATGAAGAGGACTCCACTCCCATTGAGGAAGATAACCCATTTTTTGAGGACATTCAGAAGGAGCACAAAGAAGTAGCTAATGTGGCTAGTGCTAATGGTAAGAAAGAATACAACCCTTTTGATGAAGAGGAAGAGGAAAATGAGGGTGAGGCAAAGTATAGTACTAACCCATTCGAGGAGAGTGACGTTGGTAATCCATTTTTGGAGGCCAGCGGGACTGAAGTCTCAACTAATCCTTTTGAGGAAGATGACAATGATGTTTTGCCAGATGTGGATATGATCGAGGAGGAACTGCTGCTTCAGCAAATTGATAACATCAGAGCTTATATTTTTGATGCAAAACTCAGCGGACGCCTGGATGAAGTTGAGCTTTTGTCCCAGAACTTAAGAGAGCTACAGCAAACGCTACAAGAGCAGAAGAAGAAAAAGCAATGATAAAAGGCGACAAACCATATTTTGGAACCAATGTGTTGAGACAAATGAGCCCACTGCTAACTGACTACCGCACAGAAACACAAAAGGAGCACCCAAAATTTAAAATCCACTTTGACTTTTAATTGCCTGAAGATTGATATTTCTATAAACCAATGTAAAAAAATAAAGTCCATAGAAAGAAAACAGTTATATACTAGGTGTCAGGTGCATGTCACTAATGGGAAAGCCGCACAATGACTGGCAAATTGATGAATATCGCTGCATTTTTTGCACATAATAGAAGAATGATGTTAGAATTGCATAGTAATAAGTGACTGTTTTCTGTTAGGTTTATAGTAAAGTCATTATTTAGGATCACAAATAGGCTGCCAAAAGTCTAATTTACCAAATATAGGTGTTTAAATATTTAATAATTTGATTGCAAACAAGTAAAAATTAGACAAGTACAACTTCTGGCAAGATTTTATCTTTCATTCTACAATTTTAAATGACATGTTTCAATGACACTATTTCAAACACACTATAGATGTGAACTTTATTTACACCTTAATCATGTCAAAGTACTACTAACAATGTGACTTTATACAGCTAAAAAGCGCTGTGATATTTTAATTGTTTTGTTACAAATTTATTACAATTTTTTTTCTCCAGTTCGGTTCAGATGTTAAAATACAGAACGAGATTAGGCTTCAGAACTACATGTATCTCAGCTGTGTATAGCAATGAGTGGATGGTGTGTGCCTAAGTAAATGAAAAAGATCTAAACTATTTCCCATTTCTTCCCACAATATCTTGATATATAGATATTATTTCAAACATTTTTTGCTGTACTGTTTTCTTACTAATTTTGTTAGTAATTTATGACTTGTTATATTAACATGCCACCAAAACCAGCAACAGACTGTAAAACACTACTTGGATGGACAATAGACAAACTAGGAATAGTTGACAGACAAAAGCAACTAATTATGTAAGTATGTTTTGTAAAGAAAACTTTTACATTCAAGGACATGGAACTACAACTCACCACTAGGTTAAATGCAGAACATGCTATCTATACAAATGCCAGCAAGTATTACATTATTTTCTTAGTGCTGCTAATGCCATAGTCTTCTGCATATGTGTTTAACACTCATTTGCTTATCACTGTTTTGTGAATACAAATGTGACTTTTTATCATTAATTGTATTAGCAGATTTGGACTTAAAAGTAACATTTACTTGAACAAATTAATTAATAAAAATACACTTGTGATTTTTATAAAACAAATGTAAATTTATTAAACCACTTGTCATCTCCTCATAAATAAAAATCTGTAAAGTAAGATGTGGTCATTAATATATTGTCAAGAGACGATAGCAGACAGATGGCCCTTTCTGATCATTTGTGTTTTCTTACATTGTCACTAACTCTGGAAAAATATAAATAAACTAAATTTCCATTACTGTATATTATTTTTACAGACAAAGCATAAAGTACCATTGTGTAAAATATCAAGGGATGCACCAATAAGATATTGGTCTTGGATACCAGCACCAATACAGGAAATTTTGCTGGATCAGTTGTTGATCCATGATAATAGTTCAGACGATATTCTGGTTGGTCTTTTCATCTGATGTAATTTAAGACTACTACCATAAGACTACTATACTACTACTGGCTGTTGTAGGTCTAGGACTTTACATCATATAAAGCTGCTCAGTAGTTAGTTGCAGGATATATAACAAATACAGACCACAACAGGATCAGATTTGTGGTCATTTGAGGAGAAAATGCCATTCTCAGTCCCCACACTGGTATTGGTTAATATCGTTTATTGGTAGATACTTAACGCTTAAGTATCAATAGCGGTATTGGGGCTGAAAAAGATAGACTGCAATAATGTACTTTTTGGAGACAGAAGTCATTGTTAGTTACTGTTTAATATAGTTCTTTCCACCAGCTAGGCGCAAAAAAAAAAAAAAAAAACTTTCCTCAGCCAAAACCATTAGTCAGCATTTGTCTGTCCTTTGAATACAGTCATTCATTTTACTCCTGCTGTGCAGCCATCTTAGTTCGATATTTGCCTGTCATTTCTTTTGGCAATGGTTTTGTCCCAGGACATGGCACCTGTCCCTCCACTTCACATATACACTCCCGAAGACAGTACTTTTTTGGACCAAAATTTGCAGGATTTGAGGCCTGCATCTTCACTTCTGCCTCAGCCTGTAAAGTATCTCTGTGAAAATAATAAGCACATTTTTTTATTATTATATTGCAAAAAAGACAATAAATATGTGTATAATATAATCCACTGATTGCCATTTAAGTCTGCTGAGTATAATAATCACGATGGCTATAATGACTAGATAAGATCCTTTGGGCGCAATGGACTCATTTTGCAATTGTTGGCAATCGGTAAAGTGTTATATTATATTATTATTAGTAATAAAAAATTACTCTGATTTGCCCAATATCTTCTTGACGTGCAGCGAAATTTGTTTATGGTCTTTTCCTTCCACATCCACAAGTACCTGCTCACCATCATCTGCAAACAAAAACACGTAATTACGCCATTTATAAAACGTACAAAACACTGATAAAGACAAAACCCTCGCCACAGGAGCCTACGTACCGAGGTAGAACTTCAGAAAGGGAGAAGGCGTCATGTTTTTAAACATCATTATTTGGACTCGGGGGTTCTGATACTGAATTTGAGGAATGTTGAAAAACACGAATTTTCTGCAATACACAATTGTAAATTAAAAAAAAACATACAGGTCAAAGAAAAACATTGTCCAAGGATAAATTCTACTGACCTTGCCCCATCACTTAGCTCTCCATTTGTGTTATAGTTGACTGTCATGATCTTAACCCTATTTTTAAAAATAATGTTACCTTTTTGGAGATATTGGAGCGTCCTTCTAATCGGAAATCTTCCTTTCATAGGCATTTTAAAGCCTTCTTTTACCTATAGCAACTATTTATTTAGAAATAGCATTTGAGGTTTAACTCCTGCCTGTCACTCGCTCATCCATGAAGCGCACACAATGTGACGCAGAATTATGACGTCGCCGCGTGTCTAAGCCAATCAAATTCGCGCATGTGATAAAGCCACACTAGGGCATTTTTAGAGCTTCACTCTTTTACAAATATATGTTAAAACCTAACCCAAAGACAACAAAGACGATATAAATACAATACACTTTTATTCATCTTAAATTAATCGAGGGCAGTTGTTTTCCAGTCTGAAACAGAAAGTCATCCACTGACTACAATCTGTGAACATTTGTTTTGTATTTTATTTTATGAGGTAGAAAATGTAAAGATGAAACAATTCCTGCTAATTTGTATTTGTTTAGATGACAGACATTAGCATGTAAAAAGAATACTTAGCAGAATAGTTCTAAAATTTGAGCTGCTTATTAATATTTTAAAGCCACAACAATAAAAACAATTTATACAGCATTTAATGAAAATGCACATAAGCTTAAAAGTCATGCACAGCAATGCAATATAAAATAATAACCATGTCTCCATTTGGATAAACAATATCCACCATTAAAACATGCACTCATTTGATGATATACATGTAGGTCTTACACAAGTGCCATTCATTTATTAAATAAAAAAGTTTAAAACTCATTCCTGTCATTATTTTCCCAAACATCACTTTTCACATCCTCAGTTAAACTACTGCAGATGTTCTTCCTGATCCTTCTCCATAAAGTCCTAGACATAAATACAGTCAAAAAGCTACCCTCAAAACATCTTTTATATAAGAACACTTCATATGAAATGAGCATTTGTTTTCAACAAATGAAGTCCTTAATAAAACATAAATTTAGTCAGCAACGCCATTATAGCTGATTAATGTGCACTTAGCAGATACAAAAAGCATTGTACAAAACAGTAGCCTCGCTACATGTACCGTATCCAAATCTTTAAGATTCTGAAAAATCATACCAACAAAACATTGTTATACAATAATTACATTTAGTACAAAAAATACAAATTGACAAAAATGCATTAAAGATGCCACAAAAGAAAATAAGCGATTGTCTTTGGGGAAAGTGATCAAGTGATTGCACGTCATAAGATAAATATGGACACTTTAAACTTATAAATAACCTGAAAGCCAGCCCAAAATGAGTTAAGCTAAATGGGAAAGAAATCTCGTCAGTGAGGTCAGTCATATTAATAAGTCATATTAAATCTAAAGTATAAGGCAGTTGGGTTTTATGATAAAGCCTGCATTTTTCAAGCCTTTTTGACAATAAACGGACAAAGCTTGGTCAATTCACATTTGTTTGTTGACTTTTTTTTTTTTTTATCTTGTGGAATGAACCATTTCAAAGAACTGTTGAAGTTTTCCATGTTACTACTGTGGTTCTACTGTTAAGTGATACTTAGGGGTGCACACATTAAAGACACATTAAATTAAAAGTAACTTGTTTTTTTAGCATTTACATTTTTGTAATAGCCACTGGAATCAAAATCTATAGTGCATCAGAGCTAAGTATACCACTAGAAACATTCAAGGAGTCATCTACAATAATAAATCCAGATTTTCGTGTGAATTTTTTGCACAGCTTGAAGGGCACTGGGATACTGTTATGAATCGAACAAATAACTATGTTCCAATATAGAAATACCTGAAATTAAGTGCTTTACTTAGTCTGTTGGATCAGAGTCTTGGCTGTTGTACTCTGCAGTTTCCATCTTCAGAATGTAGGGAATGATGCTGTCTATGGAAACGTTGCCAATTAATCCAGTAAAAAACAGCTCCTCTGTGATGCTTGGGTTCATGAGGCGCAGAGCTGGGAGGCGTGTGAGAATACGGGTCAACCTGAAAACAACATGTCATTATATTTTATGCTCACATAAACTGACTGACGCTTCAAGTAGTACCGATATGTATCATCTGGATATGTCTTCTGCACATAGTCCTGCAGCTCCATCAAGGCCTTTTCCTGGTACTTTTCAATCTGTCCACCACTGTCCACACCTGGGTGATCTAAACCACAACGCACACGTTTTCAATGGAAATATAAAACATTATTTGCAAATTTTCAGAGTATTGTACTACCACTAGTATTATTTCACCACTAATAACTGCAATTACTTCAAGTGCTGTGAAAAGATTCCACTCAACAAAACTATAGATTTAGAATTTTACTGTCCTTTCCCATGGATAAAAATAAATTAAGTCAGTTTAAATTACTTGAGAAAAATTATTGCAGATTTTATAACAGAGAAAAACTATTACAATTTCTTCAGACTCACCAGGGCTAAAGAGCACTATAGCCTTTAAATAGGCATATTCATAACTGTCGGTGTCCAGTCTTGTCATGCTGTTACAGAACTCCTGAAACTTCCAGATGTGCTCCATTACCTGTTTCACTCTCTCCCCAGAGAGCTTATCTGAGATATAAAAGCACATGGTGAGACATCCACTCAGTACAACAATGCAGGAACACATTTTAATCTGATCTGTATGGTCTTTTATTTGTTTGTGTCCTACGGTGAAATGATGGGGTCTGTAGTCCGTACCATCCTGGAGGTGGTTGATGATGGCTGAGAGGATCGTGGACAAGTTCATAATGTGAGCACACTGAGCCAGGCCCAGGGTGAAAAGCTCATTCCAGCATGCCCTGACCAGACTGGTGTTGGCCTCATGACTGTTCAGGTACAGGTAACAGAATATTTTTTATACTCAAACACAAAACAAGAAGACATTTTTGTGATAGTCCTACCCAAGAGCTGAGAAGGCAGGGATTGATCGAGCCCAGTGCATTGAGAGGAAGAGCAGCCTTGATGCAGACTCACAGATGTAATGTACATTCAGATAATCAGGCATGGGACTGGGCATGGTCAGCTACAAAGAGTTTCAACAAAAATGACAGTAAATAGTGTTGTATGTAGTGTGCAACTTTTTACAAAGAGCAAACATTTCACATTCACTAGTACCTTAAAACCAATGTGGTTGTCTGTGAGCAGTGGTCCCTCCACCTCAATGATGGGAGTCTCTTGGTCCCGTCCAATCAGTTGTATAGTTCCACTGGTAAGTTTTCCTTCCACAGTATGTCCCATTTCTTCTTCATCTGGATGTAAAACTTTGGCCAAGGTATCAAAGGCACTGTAGAGAATAAAACAAACATGAAATGAATGTATAATATATAATATATGAATACATATCTTCTACACAAACCGTGTAATATCACTGGCGGACTGCTCTTCATTGAGGCTGTCAGAGGTATCACCATTGTTCAGGTTTTCTCTTAGCGAATCACTAAGATTTGCCAATGACGTGACCACATTGGCTAATGTCCCCAAGTCACCCTGTCCAGACTCTAACTGAACACCAAACAAAAACAAAATTGTTGATATATTGCACTACAATGAATATAGGTGAATTCTGCTCCTATCTCCTAACCTTGGGGTCAGTTGCGAGTAGTAGTGTGCCATCAGCTTGAATGACTGGCTGCTGAATGTTCACCAACATCCCCTGATCAATCAGACTGGACCTGTAATGAAACAATGTATGCAAAACCTGCATTATTGTCAATATGTTGAAACTCTTTGGTCATTTGATTTCCACTAACCTGGAGCCATCAGTTTCTGTGTCAGAAATAAAGGTTGGTGTAGCAATTAGTGGACTATTCAGATCCTTTCGAATGTAGATTTTGTGTGTGGAGGCTGCACAGTTGCCATGTTTCTCTCTGGGTAAGATTTCAATGGGTTTCCTTTCACTCTGCACAGCTGTAAGATTGTAACGGACATCTATTGAGATAAATTAACAAATAAAGAACAAACATAAAAATAATACTTTACTCCTAAAAATATTAACATACACTCTGTCTTCATCCCCATCTTAAGGCATTTTCTTAGCCGGCAGAACTGGCAGCGGTTGCGATGATGCTTGTTTATGACACAGTCCTGTTTACTGCGGCAGCTATAGGTCAAGTTCTTCCGGACACTGCGTTTGAAAAAGCCCTTACAGCCTTCACAGCTCACAGCTCCATAGTGACGGCCTGGAAACAAAATTCACAAATACAAAGCCACATTATTATGACTATAGAATATACTGAGCAACTGCTGACCAAAAGAGAATCTCCTTGCAATTGACATATCATTTTTACTATCAGCTAAGGTCTGTGTAATTAATACATTTTAATCAAGATGGAGACTAATGATCACTGATATGCTTTTTCATGGAGAGTTCTACAGCCACTCCACTGTAAAGGCATGTGGTTTCGAGCAAAATTCTAAATTTGGAGGAAGAATGACCATACCATCTATCCATCCATCCAGGGTGACCTTAGGGTAGTCGTTAAAAGTCTGTATTAGTTATGTTCAGACAATTTAAATTCAAATCAAAGAATATGATCAATATGTAACAGTAACTTTTTTCATCCAAATACAACCCAAAATCTATCTGACGTACCAGATGCTTTGTCTCCACACACCACACAGTACTCCACTGGTTGGGCTCGGCTCAAATCAGCCGACTGGCCAAGCAATCGCTCCATCGACACAGGATCTGTCACAATCTAAAAATCACACACACAAAAAATCATTACACAAAAAATAAGTGTGCTTACAGCAATAAGATTTAGTAAGAAAGAGTATAAAGTACCTGTATTCGTCCTGGCATCAGGCTGTCTGCTGCAGTGAAAATTAGTTGTTTGGCATTGTGGGAGTCAGGTGAGGCCAGGATAACCTTGCCTGCTCCGGAGCTGTCGGCTGTGGTGAGAATAAACTGTGGTTTGGGAGCAGTGGACGGGTTCATGGCTGTCACTATCTGAATCTTCTGACCTGTCTGCTGGTCAGTTACAATCTGTGGCCGTTAAAGATGGATGTGGCAGAGAGGAGAAATGGACAAAGACAAAGTTAGTTAGGTCAGACTTTTTTTTCTATCTAGGAGTTGCCTCAGTGATGCTGCAGGTTTGTATGACAGATGCCCTTCCAGTCATAGCCATATATGCACTTGTTAAAATAAACATATGCCTAATAATACTTTGCCACCTTGTCAATGCCTGATCTCATAAGTTAAGCAGCAGAGTTGGACCTGGTTAATACATGGAAGGGAAACTGCATTGAATACCAGGTGTCACAGTGGGGCTGCAGTAGGCCTGTTACGATAAGAAAGTTTGTAGCACAATGTATTGCTTCAGAGATATTGCAATAAATGATAATACTGAAACTACTTTATCCAAATGACTCCGTAACAATAATGCAAAATAATAAAGATCAAGCCAGTAAAGCATTTTTAAATAGACAGTATCATAGCAGAATGAACCAATATTTACCCTCTATAACTCAAATAATATTGTACACACAATAAATATTGAGCCCCAAAATATATTGTTCCAGCTTACTTACTGAACAATAAGTCGATATAGTAATTATTGTGACAGGCCGCCTAGGCAGCAGTCTAGTATGAATGTGGTGTGTGCGTGAGTGATGTGTTGGTGGGGGTCGATGTCCGATGGCACAAATTGGGAACTGTGGCTACAATATTAAAATACCATTGAGAATGAACAGAATGAATAATGCTTTGGATGGAGAGAAATACTTGATCAAGTAGTGGCATCAGATAGCTGGACATTCAGCATTTACCTGTATTCTTGGAGGTGTTGAGGAATCTGTGGAAATAATCTGAAACCAGACAGGAGATACAACCATTATTGAATCTGACTATGGCAACAGCAAATTGAGACATTGTTAAACATCTTGTAGTATATTTATTTCGTTAATTACCAAACAAAGTAAGTGGATACAAATTAACTGTTGCCTCCTTTAAACAATGTTGAAGCAATGCCAATGTAAAATAAATTGATGCATTTGCCTGAGAAATTAGGAAACTCAAACTGACCTCAGCTGCCTGCTCGGACACAACTTTCTGCTGAGCAAGCAGGTTCAGATTGGTCGTCATGATTATGGAAGGTCATTAGTGAGGCCTGCAGAAACAAGGTAGGACACACCTGTTAAAACGGTCAGTTCTTTGATGAATAAGAAAGTGATACGGGCTTTTTTGGTTAAATTGTTTTGGACAACATTTGGCTAAACACATTTTCTTTAGTACAATGTCATTATCAAGTTATGACTAGTATATGACTATTGTAAGTTACTGCGTAGGTTCATTCATTTGCCCATTGGCCATAATATTAGTCTATCATGACACCCTCCACGAAAAAGCATCAAATTGTGAAGTACTTAATAGCCCCAGATACTAGAGTTTTCATTTAAACAAGCTTGAAAACATCCCTTAGTCCCAATATATATATAAAAAATTCTAAATTGTCCATAAAAGCGAGAATGCAGATCCCGCAGCTGTCATTGGGATGCCAAAGGTAAAAGGGTCGGGTTCATCTTTACTGCACACTGAATCATAGCGACTGCAGCAGCTAGCTTTATGCATGAGAACGCCACAAAGAGAGTAATACCGTGCCCGTTTCTCTCTCTGCTGGGTTGCCTTTATGGAGATGCATTTTCACCAAGATAATAGCGGTGTCACACAATTATAATTTGTGTTTGTGGGTTGTAGCCAGAGTGCGCCCACTGTCCGTGGCCCTTCGCGGATCACAGAGCTGCGGAAGCAGAGCCGTGTCGGCTAATGCTAACCGGGCGATTAGCTGCGCTCTTTTATGCACAGCCTCCTCGCGCTTTCATCTGTTTTCAGTACATGTCTGGCACTTACCTCTGTTGAATGGCGTTTGCAGAATGACTTGCCACTTTTGAATTACAAAGTATTTCTTTTGTTTTTCTTCTGTTAAAGGTCATAGTTCGTGACCCCGCTCGACAGCGTGCAATGTTTTTCCTTCCTCCGCCGCGGCGTGCGTCCCCTCGCGCCTCCACCCGTCCTCCGCTACAGACACTGACGTCATGTCGTCTAAGTCCAGTCCGGTCCAGGACCACGGAGCATCTTTAGTCACTAAAACGTCTATAGACACGAAATGTATGTTACTGAGGAGAGGCTGCTGCCTTAGCTGCAAAGGTGGAGTATTCACCGTATCATTTATCATTTTATGACCTTTGGCCTGCATGCCATAGTATCTGCAGCAGCTTATTATAATTAAAAGAAACAATGAAACAACCTAATACAAGTAACACTGGCAGATAGCTAGTTAATGCTGCAACCTAAAACATGCAAAATCCTTCAATCAAGTCCTAATCAAGCTGATGAGGAATATATTGGTCCTGACACAATGCATGTGGCCCTCACGTGCACCCATTCAATCTGTTGCTGCCACTTCGCCCTCAGAACCTCCTGCTTGACCTGGCTGAGTCTGAAAATCTGGAAATAAAGGATAAATCTGTGTTAGTACATAGACTAGTATTATAAAGGCATATCTAGTGGAACACCTGAATATAATCTATAGGCTACTGGTGAAAAGAGGCCCATTAAAAGTACTGACTTGGAGAAAATGGTTAAAATAGAGCCATCTTATCAAGTCTTATCATAATGTGTAAATGAATGGCCTATGCCTAAAATAAGACCAGTCACAGATTAAAATTTTAAATATAACTTTGAGTTTGTTGTACCACAAGGGGTCTCCACGGAGGAGATGGTCAAGTCATCAATTTAGGCTATCAGTAATAATAATAAAAGCTATTTGGCCTATTATTGTGAGTTTGTTAAGCAAAATGGGTTTCTTCATATTCTTCAACTCTGGGCAGATCACAGAGCTGAAATCATCGACGTCGAGAACCAGATTTGATAGTACCATGGATATGTTGTTCTGCCTGTATTGGCATCCAAGCAGTAGAGGGCCCATGTCCAGAGGCTACGGCTGAATTGACTTCCTTATTTGCGCAACTGCACTTCCTCAGTGTAGAGGAGATACACACTAGAAAACCGCGGTGAAGTTGATTTTACTTTAGAGTCAGCGGTTGGATATGCGCTTCCGTTACAACAGCGGGGATTTCCACTGTCTGTGCTCCGCCTCAAGATGTGGGAAGCTGTGGTCCGAAGCCCCTCTAAGGGCCCGTCAACAAACTACCCTTGTAGTGAATGGAGTTTGCTTAAAAACATAATCAATTGAAATAATAAAACGCAATTGTGGGGAAAAAAACAAAAACTTGCTGAGTTATGATTTCGCTGCAGCTAACGTTGCATTTGGATGAGTAGAGATAGATCAAACTTCTTTAGCTGTTCTTGGCATATTTATTAAAAAATAAAAACACTTCATTCAAATAAAAAATTAAAAAGGGACTGGTTAATTAATTAAATAATTAATAAAGGGAGGATTAATTAATTCATGATTTTTTTGTTTCAGTATTTTCCAGATCAAGTAACCCAAACTCCAAACCAAGTTATTATAGTAGTCTTTTTTTTTTTTTTTTTTTTTTTTAATTCAAATTTTTTTTTATTCAAATCACCACAAACGCATTCAATATGGAAAACGGGCACAGCAGGTGTAAGGGAAGTGTTTAACAAGGAAGGACATGTAACAAACTGCTGAATTTGAAGTAAATTTAGGCTCATTGAACTGAGCTTGTCGTCATCAATCAATGGAACACTGTCGAAGGGTCTTATGCATCCTTCACGTATGTCCTCACTGCGACCACGTCTCCCATAATGCATTTCGCTATTAATTTCCCATCAGTAATCTCACGCTCTATACTGGTCTCTTTGCCATCCCAGGTCTGTTTCTGGATAAGTTTACCATTTTCCAGGGTCATTACGGTCTTGGTCTTCCTATCATCTGCGGTGGTTTCGTCAAATTGCTCGTTGAGTTTGAACTTAATTTCAGTAGTTTAAATGTGCTTTGAGATTTCAAGCATACAACTCCTTGGTCGTCCACAGATACTATCAAATTAGGCTTGGTCCGATTGCCAACCTGCCGAGTTGCAAATCCCACACCGATTGCCTTCATGTAGTCGTCAAAGTTCTCACTGGTAACCATCTTCCAAGTCCCAACAAACTGCTCGACCATCTTTGCAACCTCAGCGTGTTCTCCTCAAACACCTGCAGAGAAACTGGTCCAAACTTTCTTTTTATTATAGTAGTCTTACCTACCATCCACACCTTTTGGTTTCCAAATTAACCCTTTGTAGAACTTTATGCAATTTTTCCCCCCTTTGAAATTAAGTTATTTTTTTCAAAAACTTCTAAGGAAAGTGACCTAGCAACTTCAATTGTTATAGTAGTCCTACTAAACGTTTTGAAAATCCCACAAAGTGTTAATTCAGAAAAACAAAAGGTGTGCATGATACCTGAGGACTAGAACCAGTCTAATAATTTAGTTTGGAGTTTTTAGGTTACTTGACCTGGAAAATATTGAAAAAAAAATGCATTAATTAATTAACCCTCAAAATACATAAAAAATAAAATTAAATATCAAAGGTTTTGTAGAACATACATGTACAATCCCTTTTTATTCTTAATTGTATTAAGTGTTGCTAAAATACGTTAATTATGCCCTAATTGTTTATCAGTTATATCAGTTGTAGTACATTATTTGGATCTGTTGTGTTTTATGTCACAGAGAGGTGCTAGAGCACAGGTCATAGAAGCCAGGTGTACGTCACTAAGTCAATATGTTTATTCAATTTGACTTGCTGTAGTTTTTAAGTCGGTGCAATAAGTAGCTGCATAATGTGTCTGCAATTCTCCAATAAATATGCCAAGAACAGCTAAAGGAGTTCCATCTGTCTCTAATCTTCACATCCAAATGCAACGTTAGCTGCAGTGAAATCATAACATAACTAGGCAAGTTGTTTTTTTTTTCACCATTGCGTTTTATTATTTCAATTGATCATTTTTTTAAGCAAACTCCATTCACTACAAGGGTAATTTGTTGACGGTCCCTACCCAGCGTAGCGGGGGCTTCAGAATAAAAATCCCCGCATCGTGAAGCGGGGCACAGAGCTTGTGTTGCGGAGGTGAGACGATACTGATACAGGCCACTCCTTTTTACCATTGCTGAACTTTGCTACTTCCCAACGTACGATTATCATCTGCTGCAATTTCATGGCGCGTAAGTGGATGCAAAGATAGGCCACCGCTTTTCAGCCGTCGGCGTGACGGAGTGCGAATGACGGTCTGTGAGCTGTGTAGGGACGGCGCACTGGCCATGCTCGGACAGATATGTAAACCCCGTTTGAGAAAGCGAGCACGAAAACCTGGGGTACTGCCTTATCTGTGCCTTGTAATAGCGACAACAACTGTTTTTGCTGTCGTCTTTTTTGACTGCATCGAGTCATGGGTCACATCAGCGAGAATGAACGCAGATTTGGAGCCACACGCGGGCATCATCCCCCTGCAGAGCGTGCCACCAACGCGTCCGGAGGAGTTCTTGCTCATGCCCAGCCCCCTCGTGTGCCAGCGAGCAAAACCGTACATCATTACCATGGTTACTTCAGCTCCTGCCAATCAAAGGGCACGACAGGCCATCCGAGACACTTGGGGTGGTGAGGTGGAGGTAACGGGGCTCAGGGTTATGACTCTTTTTATTGTGGGTGTGCCGTCGGACCCAGCTCTGGGCAAACTGCTCATAGTGGAGGCCAGAGAGCGAGGGGACCTAATCCAGGGTCGCTTTCTGGACACATACTCCAATCTCACCCTGAAGACCTTGTCCATGCTCGGGTGGGCGCGCCGCTTCTGCCCGCAGGCTCATTTTATGGCCAAAGTGGACGATGATGTTCTTTTCAACCCCAGCGCCCTGCTCCACTTTCTGAACAAAAGCAGAAACCCCTATGAGCACGGGGACTTGTACCTGGGCAGGGTTCACATTCGTGTGGCTCCCAACCGTGACCCCAGCAGCAAGCACTACCTCCCGACAGGGACCTACTCTGCCTCCGTGTTCCCAGACTACTGCAGCGGAACCACCTACGTCCTCTCGCGCTCTGCATTGCTCAAAATCTCTCTGGCGGCCACAGCTTCAGCCCTGTCCACACCTCTCCCCCCTGAAGATATATTTGTGGGCATGTGTGCACGTGCAGCTGGGGTCCTGCCCTCACACTGCCCTCTTTTCTCCGGTGGTCCTCGTGTTCCCTATGGACGATGCTGTTACCAGGCCATGGTGTCAGTCCACAGGGTCGCTCCAAGGGACATGCTGCGGTACTGGGCTGACCTCCACACACTCCCTCCCTGCTCCTGGCTCAGTGTTCGGGCTTCTCTAGGACTCTGCAAAGTTAGAGCCTGGTTAGGTGTTGCGTTAGGAATAAAGCAGGATGTGTAACAAATGTGAGAGATTATTCCATACTGTGAAGTGCTCTTCTCTCTGTAGAGACACAAAATGTGTGCACTGAAAATAAGAATTTGTCATCCTCATCCACTACAATATATCCTGCTACTTGTTCATCCACTTATTCAGCTGACAATAGACTAGAACACTTTCACACTATTGATTCAGGAAGAGCACAATAACAGGAATGCAGAACAACATGTGGTAATTAGTATAACCTACTTTTGCAGTATCACATGCATGCAGTATTGTAACAGGCCAGTCACATTATCACATAGCCCACATGCAGTGCTGCAGTCCATGAGTTTCAGAATGATAAAAAATTAGGACATTTGGACACAGTGATAAGCAATTTAAAAACTATTTATTTTATCTTTTGAGTAGGAAAAAGTCCTCAGAATGTTGCATATAATATAACTGAGACTCATGAATAGGCCACTCACAGTATCACATACATGCAGTACTGCAATGAGCCAGTCACAGTATCACATACATGCAGTACTGCAATGAGCCAGTCACAGTATCACATACATGCAGTACTGCAATGAGCCAGTCACAGTATCACATACATGCAGTACTGCAATGAGCCAGTCACAGTATCACATACATGCAGTACTGCAATAGGCTAATCACAGTTGAACATACATACCTGTAAGTATCACCTGTACAGTCCCAAATATGTGAATCTTGGCTCTGCTCTGCTCGTACAGCAATTTTGCTTAATTTTCCTGTAACTGCAAAAGTGTCTCGCTCAGGGAAGCAATAATATTGGCAAAAAGATTGCGTGTCTACTGTTTCAGGATTAGCAGGTGTTTCCAAACTGGAATGAAAGATCTTTAATGTAGATCTGATCATATTCCTGCTCGGGTCAAATGGCCACCACATTATTTAAAAGTGTATTAAATTAATAATTGCCATTTTGTTTGTTATATGTGCTTATCTCAGGTGATATAAATTAACATAAAATTTACCACACAGATTTCTTGTTGCTAATTTTCATCATATGTCTGGGCAATTATACCAGTGTGCAATAATATATCAATTTGGACAGATTGATATATTGAAGACATTTCAATGTGGTGTTAATAGTTCAGCTCTTCTGTTACCTTTGTCCAAATTTTGCTGCATCTATAAATATTTACTTTCCTCCTTTCTAATCAGCAGCCTAGGCCTGTTTTTCATGTGACATGAATATTCATACTGCGCTATACCTGTGTAATATATAATATGATATAATATAATATAATATGGAGAGAGATTTGTCTTATAAAGATTAATACAAATAAAAAAGTATATATGTAAATATACATACATTTGTAAATATGAAATAATATAAATATAATACAAAATACAAATAAAAAATGTGACATACAAATAAATAAACTAATTTGTTTAAATAAATGTGTATTTGTAAATATATTTTCAAGATTTAAAAACAAATATACTTAAGTTTGTATGTGGAACCTGCATTTGTGGATCCCCATTTTGCTTTTCTCTCGATGACATCATTTTGAGACATTCCCCCTGCACATTCCTCCTGCATGTTTCACAAGCCCAAAGGTTGTTCTTGATGACCTCAAACAGACAGAAGCATAGCCATCTGTAAAATGAGTGTGACAATCTGTGTGTGAACATCAACAAACTGAAAGCCGAGAATGAACAATAAAAAGAAATGATCAGGGGTACTCAGTTCTCCTTCGCCACTCTCAAGTGTAAAGCAGCACATGTCCTGTTCTTCACAGGTCTGACCAGTGCCCTGTTTTACTGGGTCCTGATAAAGACAGTGTACGCATGTTACCTGCCAGAGCTATGACATTTTTGTCTAAAGGTTGGAGTGGGTGTGTTTCTGATAAAAACAAACTCACAGCTGATTCAGGATTTAGACCTTCTACAAGCAAATGAACTGAAGTGTAAACTTTGTTCAAATTCAAAAAAATTGTTTATTTGTATGTCACATTTTTATATTTGTATTTTGGATTTGGATATTTATAAATGTATGCATATTTACATATATCATTTTTTATTTGTATAAATCCTTATGAGACAAATCTTGCTTCATAAATATATCATATAGGTAACACTTTATTTTAGGGTACACTTATTAACATTTAACTACTTACTAATTAGCATGGTTGTAAATGGTTAATTTGTCATTAATTAGTATTTATTCGGCCCTTATTACTGTCGAATTCCCCATAAGTTTATTGAGCTATTAGTTAAACATTTACAAACACTTTCCTGTTAATACACTCCTTATTACTGCTTATTAGTGTGATACTAAGCCGTTTCTGTCCATGAATTATGATTCTAATAAGCTTTTGGTAGTATGCATGTTGTTAAGGACTAGTAGCACAAGAAATGTAGTTTTTACTTATTTGCACTTAATAAATTCAGCTTACTCTTATGTAATAAAACACTCTCTATTAGGTGTTAAGAGAGTCCAATTACCAGTAATAAGGAGTGTATTAATAGGAAAGTGTTTGCAAATTCTAACTAATAGCTGAATAAACTTATGGGGAATTAAACATTAATAAGGGCTGAATAAATGCGTTTTAATGACAAATTAACCATCTACAACTATGCGAATTAGCAGTTAGTTAGATGTTAATAAGTGTACCCTAAATACTCTCTATGGTTATTACTCAGTGGGGAAATGTAGTCACACATTTGTTACACACTGGATGCTTTTCATCTATCATATTTCCCCTATGTATCTGTAACAAATGACGTGGAATCAAATGTACTTTTATTTGGGCTCATGTATTTTGGCTGAGTAGTGCTCTCTTGTGATGATGAGCGGTAGAAAGAAGCGCCTTTGGCGTCATGAACGTGTTACTTAGTTTATGAGATGGGATCGAGGAGTCACTGACTTTAGCTCTGTCCTTAAAAATGGTCAGTTTCTGTTTAAGTATTCATTATATGATCAGTGCCCAAATGTACACATTATGTATGTCATTTGGGACATTTATGAGGTAATGTTTTGTACAATATGTGAGTGAGTTATTACACAGTAATGGACTGTTACACGTCGTGACAAAAGCTACTTTTAAATGCAAATGCGACTTGCTGTCTGCTCGCAGTGTTAAGCCGTGCTATCCTGGCACATATTTTGTTTCATGCAAATTAAAAACAAAAAAGACAGCACCATGTCCTGGCAATTTATTCACAACACAACGCTGATAAACTATATGACATGTGTTTGTTCACACAAACACATGTTGCAGGAAGTTCAAGTCACTCCCATAATCTGATGCTGGACAGTACAATGAACCCTCTTTTCTATTTTATGAACCTATCTAGAGCAGATTTCTTTCTACATACAACAGATGCCTTGATATTATTCTGCTTTTGTTCTTTTTCAGTCCTCATTTTGTCCTCAATTGTTTTCTTGATTAGTTCCTATGAGAAAAAGACAGAACACGTTAAAAATATACTACATCATATTTTTATAAATTATAATGAAGGTTTTTGGATTACTAACTCTTTGGTCCTCATGAGCCACTTGCTTCTTTCGTCTTTCAACAGCTCCTGCGGAGCTACGACCCTTTTTCTTAAACTTGGGAATAAATTTCTGTTTTTCAAGAGGATCAAAGCCCTAAGACAATTTAAAAGACCACTATTAGTAAATAAATTGTTATGAAATAATTATGGGTGTTAACAGTGAAATTGATACTAACTAGGGCTTCAATCCTGTCTTGGTGTCTTTGCTCAAATGTTGCTCTGTCAACCTCTCCAAGCTTGTTTGGGTCGAGAGTAATTAGTTCAGGTTGGATTTTCTCCAGAAGAGCTTTAACCTCCCATTCTTGTCTCTGTTTTGCACTGCGGTAGGGATTAGCATCCAGACCATCAAAATTGGGTTCACCAGCTCCAGGTACGAGCATGCTTGTAAAACCATCTCCATGCCCCACACCTAAGACATCCTCAAAAGGACAGAAGTGTAGCCCCCACACTGCCCCTCTCACTCTGTGTGCCATGTAGGGCTTAGTAACAGGAGTGCTCCACACATCTCTGTACACCTGGAGAGAAAAGTCCAAAATTACAGTACAATACTTTACAACAAATCTATTTCCAAGAGTGTTTGAGCTGCATTACCTGAACTATATCACCTGTTGCTGCTGACAACAGTCCCCTTTGACTCAAAGAAAGACAGGATGCTCCAGCAGGAAGAAAGTATGATTTTAGGGGTTTGAATGCTCTTATGTCATAAACTTTAAGCTTTTTATCCATGCCTGAAGTCACCATGTATCTGGAAAGAATAAAAATTATGTAAAAAGTTACCCTCTTGGTGAAAATTGCAACTTGCATCTCAAACATACAGCATATAAAATACATAAGGCTCTTGAGAAAAACTCACGTGCCCGTCTTGTCTACACTGACGGAGCGTACTCCTCCCTGGTGACAAAGCATTTTTACCAGAGCTTCTTTCTGGTTTGGGGACCAAAGTGTGACTGTCCCATTTGGATGTCCAAGGTGAATGATGGCATTGTAAGGATTCTGACACATTACATCAAGGCGCCCAGTTTTGGTACAGATTGCAGCAACCTCCTTCCCAACTGAGACATCAAGGTATTGCAAAAAACTTGTGGCACTCTAACCAGAGATTGGGAAATATATTTTAAAAATATATCTTTCAACAGTTCAAAATCTTTGTATAAATATATACCGCTGTGGCTAGCAAAAAGTGGTAGGGAAGAAACTGCATGCGAAGAACGTCGTTGAATTTCCGTATACAGTGAAGCTCTATCCCATTAGAGTCATAAATATACAGCCATTTTTTTTGTGCCACTGCATACATGGACTCAGTATGAAGCCACCTAATGAAAGATAATTTAATTTTAGCTAGAATGACAATCCAAGGCCTGGGGCCGTAACACTTCTGACTGCAAAGAATACAGATATTAAAATAATGGATTATGTGTGGATATGGAGGACTCACTTCACATCATTAACAGACTCCAGCACATTTATTTCACACATCAACTGTTTAGACTGCCAGTCCAAACAGGCAATATGGCCTCTCCTCCCGCCAAGCAGCAGGTGTCTAAGCACATAAAGAGAAAGACAACCATTAGAAAACATATAGGAATATTTCATGACAAAAAATGTGCTATGTAAAACACCATTACTTACCGCCCTGTTTTGCTGTAGTCCAACCGGTATGGCCCAAACTGTGATAGTTTTAAATTGAAATACTGGACATACACAGAGAAAGACATATTATATATGGATACTAAAATGATCAAGTTCAACAGTGGCAGTTACTGTACTTGAATGCCTACTCCCATTCAAGAAGTAAATTTCCCATTTATTTTTCTTATAGTTTCTTCTGGGGAAGAATAATATTAAGTGATTGAAAGCTTCCTTGGGGTTACTTGCTATTTTAAAAAAAGTTGTAATTTACTTCCAGAATTGGAGCAGGCATCATGGTGGGCGAGATTGCTGAGCTACACAGCATTTGCTTAAAACTGGAGCAAAATAATATGACTTTGTGTACTGGTTAAAATATTAAAATGTATGGGGGCATTTTAAATAGAGAGAATTGACATTGACATACCTTTGCACTAGAAGATATATCTACAGCATTGGCTATATCTTCCTGAGAAATTGTACAAGTGTCCTCTCCTTCATCTCCTTCAAGAAACCTGAGGGCAAATTCATCACATTCGTTGTTCGCTTTTAGGCTGATTCCTGCTGAAGCAAGGTAAAAAGGTTGCAAATAAATTTACCCTTCATCCTCTGGGAGAAGAAGATCAAAACGTGCAGCTTGATTTTGAGCCATTTTAGAAGCAACTTCTGACTGAGAAATTATTTGCTTCAGCTTGTGGTGCTTGTGTCGTGACTGGGCAAAAAACATTTCTTACGTTAGAGCAGTATATCAAGGAATTTGCAACTTCAACTCAAAGAGGAAACAAAAAATACCTTTGTCGTTTTTTCTTTTCTCGTAAACTTCTGAAGTCTGTCTTTCGGAATGGGAGCAGGCCCAGGAAAGGGGTCTATTTTCTGTAACAAGATTACAGAAAAGTGATCTTGCAATACCTTGTCAATGGGGGGGGGGGGGGGGGGGAACAGAATATGCAACAATCTTTTATTATCAAAGCAACCTTACCCCTGAGACAAATTTCTTCCCTTGGCTGGAGTCTCGTCGTGTGTCCTTCGTGTGTTTTCGTTTCTTTGGCTTCTGTGCTTGTTTCTGCCGTTCACTTTCTCCATTCTTCTCCGTTTCATTGTCATCCTTCACTTTATTGTCAGACCCCTGCCAGTAACGACTTGCGAGCTGTCAAAATTAGGTAGGATAGGTCTTTAATTTAAAATGCTTTTCCACAGACCATACTTTTTCCACACATGGCAATTATGTGGGACTTTCGCGCAGACTAATAGAAGATAGGATTTCATTGAATGGATGCGACTTTTACGTGGGTGTCTTCAATGCAGCTGGACGTAAACGATCTAAACCTGTCCATCTCATGATACACCTTTGGCTAACGTTGTTAAATCAATAAAACACTTTACCTTTTTCTCCACGTGTGAATCCTCCTGCGGTGCCTCACTGATGGACGCCATATTTGTTGTATACGTTTTGTTCCTCTACTTCTTTGTGCACGTTTTTGGCAGACTAGACATCGCATTGCATATTGCTGCCGCTCACTGGTTGCTCCTGGTACTGCAATGGAAAAAGAGGCTGAATCTGAACGTACCAATGGGTGTCTTGAGTGAGATTGCTGTGATTCCGAATTCAGATAAGATTAAATTCCAATAGTAAATAGTATTGGAAGAGTATTCCAATAGTAAATTCCAATCATTCTAATACCACATTCTATTAAGACAAACATTATTTATCCACTTTGTCTCTCATTAAAGCAGCTACTGAGCTGCTCAGAGCATGTTAAAGACATTACCACTCTTAGAGCCATATTGACACAGGAAATTCAGCCCTAGTGCTGTTCCTATTTACCAGAGACAGTGCCAGGTTTGAGCCCTGTGTCCCCTGCACCAGAAGATTTATCCAAAACCAGTGATTTGTTCCAGTTTTATACAAGAAATGTCCTAGGTGTCCCTATTTTTGACCAAAATAATAAAAATAATACACAAAAGCAGCTTAAAATGATAAAAATACAAAAAATAAAAATGACTATACTGACTCACATTAGTGCAGAGTGCAGAGCAGTTTTCCTTAATCACATACTCATTTTACAATTTATTATTATCAACCAACCCAAACCAGAGATGCCACAGTTTTTTATTTTGAAAATCTGGTCACCCTAATTTTAATTAAAATGGAGATTAATTAATTAAATTTATGGACATCAATCAATAAATCAATCAATCTGTGGAAAGGTGTGATATGTTTTTGTTATATCCCCCTTTCCTCTCCACATCCTTTTCGGGTTGGCTCACAACTCTACTGCTTCACATGGGTATACTGTTCCAGCTTTTCTTCCAAAACAAAGAAAGTCCAGCCTGTCTAATCTCAGGAGTATCACACATTTCACAAAGATTGGAGTAGATATGATTGACCCAGCCACAAAACGTTTTTGTTTTTAAAGAGCTCATATTATGTTATTTTCTGATCTATGTAATAGATTAATGTTATTTCCTCATCAAAACATATCTAGAGTTGTGTTTTGTTTCATTCTCACATATTTAACGCACAACATACATATTTAGGCTGAGTACTTCTCTCAAACAGAAAACACTCTGTTCCATCTTATGATGTTGCGACTGAAATTTATATTGTGGATAGATTTCTATCAATCTGTCTTTGTGTAAATGCATGTGATTTCTACCAGTCTCAGGAGACTGGAGAGACTGTTGGTCTCTGGTCAGGGCAGGCCTAGGCCCTGTCCATATCTGCTGTAACAAGAATAAACCTTTGTCTGTATTCAGAAAACTCATCGAGCTTCACAAATAGGTAATTATTTATCATCAAGAGATACATAATTTTTTCCACAACAATATCATCAGAATACAGAAGTGCTCCACTGTATTTCAAACTCCATACACCTTCACTAGAATCATCTGGATGATTTCAATTGCAATTTATAGTGAATTAAATTTGAAAAGATAGCTGTTAACTTGAAAATTACCATTGCATAACATCACAAGGAGAAACAGAGCATTCTGAGCTTTGGAGATGTGACAAGACTAATAAACCAGGATTACTCAAGCATTAATGAAACAGAGCACAACTTGGGTTATGTTTTGATGAGGTAACAGTATTATAACATGGCTTAATGCTCACAAGAATCCATTTTGTGTAATACAGAACCTTTAATCCTAGTCAACTCAGAAATGTATTTGCATTTTTAAAACAGCATACCCTTTATTTGCGATGATGTTTTTATTATTACATGCTGAAGAAGAGAGAATTAAATAATGACCAGAAAATAAATTACTATGGTTTTTCAGAAATCTTGTTCCGTTTTTTTCAATGTAGGCAATAGTTTATAACAGAGTGATTTGTCCTCACCACAAAGCTTAATTGGGCATGCTACGTTTTAAAAAGAGCAAAATCTGTTTTTTAAGAGAGTGATCTCAGGTAACCACAAACTGTATTTTTTTTTTGTCAAATGCCTTTATAATAGCTAGACAGTGTATTGTCTGATCTTTAAATCTTTCGCCAGTCATCAGGAGTTATTGCCAAGCCTAAATCCTTTGTATGCATTAATCCACGAGTCGACTACGTTACTTGGTAAGTAAATAAATGACTTGACAAAACTCCCTGGAGATAGCAGAGGGAGGGACTAGACTTTAACAGATATGAAACCATGGTTCAGATCACAAGAGAGGGCGGATTGCGTAATGAAGAGGAAATACTTGAATAGGTCCAAAGAGGGGCCAGCTGCAGGCAGAACGAGGACAGGAAAACAGAATTCCAGAAGTGTCGATCAACATGCCAAACCCAAAGGATGTGAGTACTATTGCAGTATTATGCATTAGAATAGTTTATTTTTGCAAAGGAATGCGTTGCAGTTTTAATCTTGCATTGCAATCTTACATTTCTACTATGCAATACAAACCAGAACAATGACATCGGACACCACTGTTTTTTCTAAAGGAATTCCAGAGAAGCTGTTTTAATCTCGCTATTAAGATATCTCACTATATTTATTCATCTTTTCATTGTACTTTAGGTGGAATCAGTGCCTCGTCCAGAGATTTTTGACTTTGATGGAGTTGCAATGGTCAACGCTTTTACTGACAACTGGGAAAATGTGCAAAACTTTCAAGCACGCCCGGATGATATAGTTGTGGCAACATATCCCAAAGCAGGTAAAAATAAATCTTTTACAGTGTATCTTTTGCCTGTTTTTAGATAAAATATTATGGTAGCAATTTGAATATGACATACAAAAGTGATCAATAATGTATTTCAGTTTATGTACTGAAGGAAAAGCAGTGGTTATTTTTACTGTGTGCGTACAATCATATTTGGAAACTTTAATTTCATTGTATGACCACATTTAGGCTGAACTCAAATTACCTCAGTCTCAGGTTACAGATTCTTGCTTAAGGACCCAACAACAGTTTTTTCCACTGCCACCCCACTATGGCACCTGGAATTCCTAGTGGTCTCCCATCCAAATACTATCCAGGCCCATCCTTGTTTAGCTTCTGAGATCTGATGAGATCAGGCTTTGACAATCTTGGACTCAGAGCACGGTAATGTGAGTTTAACCTAAGCTTGGTAAAATCTAAACCACACAAAATCAAAATGTAACAGCCTATAATTACGCAATATAAAACAAAATAGGAACAGAGTCCTCACTGTTATCACATGTGACCAAAGACGGTGTCAGTTTAGATAAAAACAATACTATCTTATTGACGTTGGTAAATATTTAATAGCCAATTGGAACTGTAGATATTTTGAGGTCAATTAAAATTATTATTACCCAAATTGTTTAGTATGTATTTAATATGATTTTGCATGAATTTTAAGGCTGATGGTCGACGAAGTGCAAATGTCAACGCAACAGCGCAGCTGAACAGCTAAAATAGTACAATGGAATCACTCCTCTCAGTCTCAAATGATAAATTAGAAGACAGTAATAGTTTTTGTTTGTTTGTTTGTTTGTTTGTTTTTGAGAGGCCCTCTCAGAGTGAGTTCACACACAAACACCATCTCAAAACTGTGACTAAACCAGGACTACACCCAAAATGAAATATGGACTCACTAGACCAGCACTAAACCAGGTATAAACAATCACACCAATATTCTACTCATGGATTAAACTATGTCAATGTGCCCTCAGAAGGGCACATTGACATAGGGTTTGATAGATAATGCATTAAACATGAGCAAAATGTTACGAACTCAAGAAAAAAGATTATTGCCTGTATTTATTGGTTGTCAGATACCAAAATAAATTTTATATGAATTGAAATGTGTGAACATTGAAAAAAAATGTACTAAATATAAAAACTGTTGTCCCTTATTCCTTTCGGAATGATATGGGCCTTGTGCATCCTGGACATGCTCTATTTTGGCTCCAAATTATTATTACCCAAATTATTTAATATGTATTTAGTATGATTTTGCGTGAGCTTTAAGGCTGATGGTCAACAAAGTGCAAATATCAACTCAATAGAGAAGCTGAACAGCTAAAATAGTACCATGGAATCACTCATCTCAGTCTCAAATGATAAATTAGAAGACAGTAGTAGTTTTTTTTTTTTTTTTTTTTTTTTGAGAGGCCCTCTCAGACACACAAACACCACCTCAAAATTGTGACTAAACTAGGACTACACCCAAAATGAAACATGGACTCACTAGACCAGGACTAAACCAGGTCTAAACAATCACACCATGATTCTGTGATTCTACGCAAAGATTAAACTGTGTGTCAGCGTGCCCTCAGAAGTTATGTTTTGTTAAACAATGCGTTAAACATTAGAAAAATGTTATTAACTCAAGAAAAAAGTTGATTCATTCATTGGTTGTCAAATGCCAAACATAATTTTATACAAATTGAAATTCGTGAATATTGAAACAAAATGTGCTAAAATATAAACTGTTGTCCCTGTTTTCCTTTAGGAACGACATGGGTCTCGTGCATTTTGGACATGCTCTATTTTGGACAGACATCACCGGAGCGGCAGACCTCCATCCCCATCTATGAAAGAGTCCCCTTTTTGGAACTGTCCATATTTAACCGAGAAGGTCTTAATTAAAAAGCATTTTACTGACTTAATATCATTAGTAAATCTATTTAAAAGCTAAAAAAATATCTTTCTATTATCTTTACCAAGGTATGAACTTGGTAGGAGTAGATATGGTCAACAATCTCCCCACATCACCACGGTTGATAAAAACTCATGTTCCAGTCCAGTTTCTTCCAAAGACATTCTGGGAGAATAACTGCAGGGTAAGAGCAAAAAAAAACAAAAAAAAACTAAATGTTTAAATGTAGTGTATGCTAATGCTAATGCAGATGTGATGTGATTTGTAGATTGTGTATGTGGCCCGTAATGCTAAGGACAACATGGTGTCCTACTATCATTTTGATCGCATGAATACAGTCCAACCAGCCGCTGGAGAATGGAATGACTACTTCCAGAGATTTTTAGATGGACAATGTATGAAAAGACAAATTATATTCTGATGTTAAATATAAAGTGTCTAATTATGATTATGCTTGCAGTGGTATTTGGATCATGGTATGACCATGTAAATGGCTGGTGGCAGAAGAAAAAGACCTATTCAAAACTGCATTATATGTTTTTTGAAGACCTTGTTGAGGTATAATTACTTCTAATAACTTTTACATTTATATTTATCAGATCTTTCTCTTGGTCTGGTAGCTCCAATCTCATTATTCTACTACCTTTATTCATACCATCTTTATTACTCTGGTATTTTCTATATACATTTTGATTACTATTCATAATTTATTAATGTGTACTTGCAGAACACAGAACAGGAAATAAACAAGCTGTGCAGCTTCCTTGGCCTGTCCGTTAGCCAAGAGATCAAACAATATATCACAGGCCAAGTCCAGTTTGACAACATGAAGAAAAACAGCATGGCCAATTACTCCACATTAAGCGGCACAGTTATGGACTTCAAAACATCTCCCTTCATGAGAAAAGGTAACTCCAATTCATGTGTATTAATGTTATATCTTTGTTTTTATGATCTGAAATTGTATCTGTGCACAGGAAAAGTTGGTGACTGGAAAAATCACTTCACTGTGGCCCAAAATGAGAAGTTTGATGAAGATTATAAACAAAAAATGAAGGACCCCTCACTGCAGTTTCGCACATTATTATGAACAAACACACTGTTAGCTCTAGGCGATATGGAGCAAAAAAAGTTTATCTCGATAATAATAAATAAAAGGTTCCTGAAACTCCTTTTGAGATGTTGTTCAACAGAATTATAAAAAAAAAAAAAAAAAAAAAAAAATCAATGAAACTGGCCTGGACAAAAATGATGGTATCCATAGAAAAAAAATTTAACTGGACAATAGGAACATGTTAAACTTAGGTGTATCCTCAAATTGGCATCACAGGTGTCTTCATACTTGTCCTCAGTCTGTTTGCCTGATTAAAGGGGGACATGTTGTCACTGTGCTGTTTGGAGACATGATGGAGACAACACTGAACATGGATCAGAGAAAGCGAAGAAGAGAACTGTGTCAGGAGACTAGAAAGAAAGCAGGTTAAAGATAAAGGCAATTAGACCATTTCCAAGCAGCGTGGTGTTCCTGTGATTATAGTTACACATGTTCTTACACATGTTCTTCAGAAGTTTAAGGTCCACAGGATTGAAGCCAACCTCCCTGGATGTGGCTACAAGAGGAAAATTTATGACAAATTGAAGAGATGGATCATATGAATGGAACTAAAGAGCCCAAAACAACATCCAAACTAATTAAATGTGAACTTGAAGGGCAAGGTACATCAGTGTCAAATCGCACCATCCATCACTGTTTATGCCAAAGTGGACTTCATGTGAGGACACCACTGTTGAGAGAATTTGCCACAATATTGACAAGCCACAAAGCTTCTGGGAGAATGAGACAAAACTGGAGCTCTTTAGTAAGGCACATCAGCTCTATGTCCACTGAAGCAAAAATGAAGCACACTGAGAAAATAACACTGTCCCTACTGTAAAACATGAGGGAGACTTGGTTATGTTCTAGGGCTGTTTTGCTGCACCTAGCACAGGGAGTCTGCGTTAGTTCAACTCCTAGTTAAGAAATATGGGAGATCGACACAGGCTCTCTGCATCGTGACGCAGACAATTTGATGCACGACCATAAATTTGGCTTTAGTGTTAGCATAACAGTAATCCCCCCACCATACGCGTATCTCTGTCTGAGGGGAGGGAGTCCAAAGGGGCCAGAGTGTTGAACGAGTCATCCTCAGTAGGCCCCGACCTGGCACTACCATGGAGCAGGGAAACAGGGCCCATAAAGGGACATGGCGCTCCAACCCCTCTCTTTGAAGTGCGAGACACACCACGCACGGAGAGCGTTGAGTCTGATGGAGCCATCCCAGACAAACTAAACAGTGGTCATTCTTGTCTTTGCGGTGGAGTGCCACACAAGTGGCATCTGAAGTGTCCGACACCGGCAGGTGACAATACTCAGGCAGAATCCATCTTAAAACTTCTCTTGCAATGAATCTTAGGGTAGAATTCTCAAAGGAACTGAACTTGGAGAGCTCTGACAGAGGAAGGGAGCTGTGTGGCTTGAAGCCTAGTATTTATAGGGCTGACTTGGCGCCAAAGAGAGGTAACCAATAGCAAAGCCCATAGGTGGGCGGAGCACATACGAAACAGGCTCTGTCCATGCTCTAATCACGCTTATGCCACAATTAGGAAGACATTTGGAAACATGCAGTGACAACTTCTGTTCGCTATGTTTGCGGTTGTAAGTCTGACAAAATCTGGGAAAAATTTGAAAATGGCCCAGTTTTCTTCATCTAGATGTCATTGCGTTCCATTATGTTCAGCTAATCAACAATTACAACCATACCTCAGTTTTCATATATGCATAATAATAATAAATAAATAAATAAATATTTATAATTCATTATGCATTCATCATGCCCTAGTAGCCAAATAATTACTTTTCTGCTAGTTTTGAGTTGCCTGTAAATGACATGCTATTAGAGTGTCGTTAACTACACCGGAAGGTGTCATTGCATGTTTCTAAACGTCTTCCTGGTTTGTGACATAAGCGAAGAATAGAGCTTTAGGACTGATATTTGTTGGCTATATTGTACTTTAATGATCTTCGTGCACTGATTTATTATGCTTTGGTTATAATCTTGAGCCTTTTTTTCCTGTTTGAATAAAAGTGTTTGATTTGTTATAGCAGTACATATAAAGGCAGTAGCACTGGTACACAATATTGCTATGTACTTATAAATTTGGACTATTTTTCTGATGTTAAAACTGGTGACTAGCCAACTATCTAGGCAGTCAAATGAAATTAAAATCCCCTCGAAAAATAAGTGATATTTTGTCATTAAATAACAAAACATAGCTGTTGGTTAGCAAAAAAATGAATGAATAAATCTGTTATCATCACAAATCGTGTTCACATTTCACACATAGTCGAGCACATTGTGCCAGACCTTTATTTTCATGTTACCAACTAGTATTTTTATTAGAGAGAGAGAGAGAGAGAGAGAGAGAGAGAGAGAGAGAGAGAGAGAGAGAGAGAGAGAGAGAGAGAGAGAGCTGTGGCTCCCTCTATTGGTCAAAACTATCACAATTAACCTTAGAATGCCTTAAAAACAATATCATTAACTCCAAACTTTTTTCATCGACGCCTGCAGCTGAAAATGACATCTCTACAGTCACAGTGGATTTTATTTAGTGCTACTGGACTAAATTAAACGATTGACACTTTACAGTGATTGGGTTGTTGTTCATGTAGACTACAATAGGGTAGTCTATTTAAAAAAGAAGCCAAAGACAAAAAGAAGCGCGCTTGGTGAATGACAACAAACTGCTTTTGCTTTTCATGACATTGATTTTCTATTAGAAGTCTCCTAGCGTGTGAGCATACACAAATCAGACCACACCCACTTTTAGGATCAGGAAATCGCATTTTGGAGATAACAAAACTGTAAGTCTACTCTGCAGCACAGCTGGTAAGTGTGGTTTAGCAGTGGCGTGTACATTAGCTTGTCATTAGACATTAGACGTCTTTATGTAGGCCTAATGCTACATAATGTACATTATTTTGGTTTTACAACTTTCAGTCTTACTACAATGTCACAACTGGATAAACCACAACGACCACCAGCGATAGACTTCCATGGAGTCTGTATGAGCAAATACTTCACAGAGAACTGGGACAATGTTCAGAGCTTTAAAGCCAGACCAGATGATATCCTCATAGCAACATACCCCAAAGCTGGTAGTGACCTTTGGACTGTCAGTGCACTGAGTGTGTGATTAGATTAACGTTTTGTGAATGTTTTGATTGTAGGAACAACCTGGGTGTCGTTTATTATTGATCTGCTCTATTTTGGTCAAACGTGTCCAGAACGTCAGACGACTGTCCCACTCATCCAAAGAGTGCCTTTCCTGGAAATAGCACTTCCTTCTCAACCATCAGGTGAAAAATGTTTAAAAGAAGCACAGCATTTCACAAAGTACTGTAGCTATGTGCATTATAGCTTACAATAGAACAACAGCAACGTTTCAACATTAATTGGTAATACTTTCTTTCATATTACCATGTGGCCTTATTTAATCACTGTGTAATCCCCCAGTCATCCAGGTGGTAGTAGTAGCATTTTCTTCAGTCAGATATAAACTGATTGAAGAAAAGTTACACAATGCACCTTTTACTTGAATACGTGTTCTATGATTGTCAGTTTGTGATTTCCACCTGAATATCAGTTTTTTTTCTGTAAATGACTCATTTTTAAAGGAAAGGAAATGGCTGACAAGATTGGAACTTCTCCTAGACTCATTAAATCTCACCTCCCCGTCCAGTTTGTACCCAAGTCTTTCTGGGAAAACAACTGCAGGGTAAAAAACATGGATTTACATTTTTCATTTACTTGTACTGTGACATACAAAATAACACATAAATAACATAACATATTTTTTTTTCACTTCATAACTGCCAGCTTCATTTACTTGGGTTGTAACAAATATTTTCTTTCAACTCATTTGCACAGATAGTGTATGTGGCCCGCAATGCTAAAGACAGTGCAGTATCTTATTATCATTTCACACGGATGAACTATGTACAGCCTGATCCTGGAGACTGGGGAACATATTTAAATAGCTTCATGAATGGAAAAGGTGGGTTTTCTTTCAATCTAGTTCTTATGTAATTTGATACATAAGTGATATGAAGTATGTGGTAATTTTTTCAGTGGTGTTTGGGTCCTGGTATGACCATGTGAACAACTGGTGGAAAAGAAAACAAACATATCCAAAAATTCACTACATGTTTTATGAGGACTTGATAGAGGTGAGATTTATTATTATTTAATTTCTTAGAGCTGAAAAATATATTAAATGAAATAACTTTATTTTACAATTTACACAGGACGCATCAAGAGAAATACTGAGACTCTCTGACTTTCTGGGCCTGTCTCCTTCAGCTGAAGAACTAGACAAAATCAAAGCAACAACTATGTTTGATAGTATGAAACACAACAAGATGATCAATTATTTTACATCTGGAATGATGGATCAGAAGGTGTCTCCGTTCTTAAGAAAAGGTAATAATAAGAGAGTAACAGAAATGAATGCCCAATGCAACACCAGGACTAGTACTTGTACTTAGTGCTTGGATGCGAGACCACTGGGAAAATCAGGTGCCAAACTGTGGTCCCAGTGGCAAAAACTGTTGTTGTGTCCTTAGGCAAGACACTTTATCACATTGCCTAGTATGAAAGTGGAGTGTGTGAGTCAGTGTTGGTGGTGGACGGTGGGTCCGATGGCACAGATTGGCAGTCTCTCTTCCATCAGTCTACCATAGGGCAGCTGCGGTTCCAGTAGTAGCTTAGCACCACCAAGTGTGGAGTAAATGAATAATGCTCTGTAAAGAGCTTGGAGGATCTTAAAAGGTGCTATATAAATCCTACGATTACTAAATTCTGTTTTTGTCTGCCAGGGAAAGTTGGTGATTGGAAGAACCATTTTACTGTGGCCCAAAATGAAGAGTTTGATGAAGACTACAAGCAAAAAATGAAGGATTCTGCATTAGTTTTTAGGACTGAAGTTTAGCTATTGCAGTGCCATTGGCCATAGTATGAAATTACTTACGGAAGTGCTAGCAGATTTGCATGTGTTTTTATTATTATGTGCTGCATGAGATGTGGTATAAATGTAAATACATGATGAATACACAACACAGTTTTGTTCTGTATGTTTATTTGAATCAAACATAAACGCAGCAACATTAAACAGAAATTGAATGAACTGAACAGAGCTAACACTGTACGTCTTTACTGACCGCACTGACAGCATCTCTGACAGCGTTTCTATGGCACATCCAGGTGTTTGGGTGACATCATCTACAGGTCTCTCTCTCCTGCTGAACAGTTAAGAGCAAACAGCAGGTACAAGGAAGGCTCACTGGAATGTAAACAACACAAGGCCATTAATGCAATTACAATTCAAGCATCGCACTGGGACAAACTGTGGCCACTCCGGGGGACGGCTCACAGAGGGGAAAAGGGTCTTATTCCAAAATAAGGTTTATCTAGTTTGTTTACTAGTAGTCAAAATACTGTACATTTATATTTCATAACAAAGATCCAAGGCAACAACTAACAATCACACTGTAAAAACAAGCATCAGTAAAATGATGTAATAACACACAATGATAGGAGTGAAGAAATCTAATAAGCAGAAAAAATCTGTTTCTTGCAGAATCAACTTTATTAAGACCACGTTTAAAGGTGCACTATGTAACTATTTGGTCGGGGGTCCATCACCTGCTTTTTCTATGGATATGTCATTGCTCTACCAGGAATGTTCCAATGTTTGACATTAAACAACTCTGTCTTACAATTATTGGTGGTTTTATAGCTGAAAAATACCTAAAGACAGGCATTCTGACTGAGCGGGTTGCCTCTCCACAGCTCTGACTTGCAACTTGGTCTGGTGTGGTCTCCATGAAGATAGAAATGTTCAATACCATAATGGAGAAAAGCATAATGCACCTTTAAATACATTTGTCATTTAAACAATACTGAGCACAGCCCAGACACATTTGACATAACCTATACAGGCCTTTCACTCCAGATACAGATTGTCTTTCACAGTTAGGAGGATTACACCCATATCTTCAATAACCTCTCATTATGTACAAAAATAACATTATTTACACTGTTGCATGAGTTATATTTTTTAAAATATTTCTGTGGAGTGCTCAGGCGTATAGTAAGTAAGTGCTGTTTCTAACATCATGCTGTTCTATTACAGGGCAGCTTTTCCTATGTGCAGCATTTAAGAGATCACATTGCTATAGAATATATACTGTTTAACATACTGTTACCAAAATGCAGTCATAGGCCTTAGTATTGTTAGGTAGTATTTGCAAAGTACTGGGCAAAACTGAGAGAAGCTGACTTCTTTTTCAATGACTGTAATGGGGATCTTACATATTGTGCAATGGAAAGACAAGATATAACAAGATTATATTCAGTTGTGCTTGCGCTGTACTAAAGATGTTTGCTGCTGTGTCATGTTCTCTGTCCATGTAACCATCTGCATAAAGACAGGCGGTGGCAACTGTTAATCAAGAACATTAACCTGATCTAATAAAATTATGTGTCAACAATATCTAGAAAAGCCCAGAACAAACATATGGCACATTGTCAATAAGCAAACTGAAGCAGGACATGATTCTACTGGGTCTTTGCAGTATACAGTGTAGAGATGTAGATTTCACGGATAGATATGCATATATTACTAATGTTTAAAATACTTTGTCCCAGTGTCGTATGATACCAGTGTGAGATGCAGCTTGACAGTGGGTAAAAGGTTGTGTCATGATTTACTCCCAGAGTAAAAGTACCATGTTTAACATCTGCTATTTTCAAAAAGTTAAAAGGCAGCTTGGTAATACTTTATTTAAGTATCCCACAAATGCTTTTGTATATTTTTCCACCTAAAATAATTGAAAGCTAAAAAAAAGCATTTTTAAATGTGTTGGAGGGTCCCATAGTGTGGTTCATAGGTCAATAATCTCACTGCTCACACTAGCAGAGTCGTCATGCCGGGACACTTCAAGGTAACTCCGTGAGCCTGCAGGACGAGCAGCTCGACGGCGCCCCCTATCTGAGTCTGGAGTAATGAAGGGCCTTGTGTCGTCCACCGCGTCCTCTTCCAGGCGTCCTGACGACGTTCTGGATGGACGGAGGGATACAGGGCAGGACACTGAAGATGGAACACTTCCCAATGCCCCTGCCCATTTGTGCCCCTGGTGAGAAGGTGTGGGGGGTGCTGTGACCTGCCTGCTGGGAACACTGCTCATAACACTGCCCCCTAGGGGCATGGATGACTCAGTGGCATCACTGCTCTCAGAGAGCTGAGGGTCACTGTTCCTGCGCAGCCATGGGCCCTGGCTGAGGCCTGATCCCGGGGAAGGGGTCTGAGAGAGTGGAGGGTGGAACAAGCTGCCCCCTGTCACCAGATGTTCTCTGTGCAGTGCCTCGTCGATGCTGCGGGTTAAATCAATGGGGGACGGGGGCCTCAGATCAAACTCATAAAGAGAGACTGAGGTGTCTCTGTCTATGTCCTGGCTCCCACTGACTGAGCGCTGAGGGGGGCGCATGAATGGCTGCAGACGGAGCTGGGACCCAGAGGAGTCATCAGAAACCCCATGCTCTACAGAGTGAGCCCTGCGATTGTTGTCTTTAATGGGTCCTGTTATGGCCGGGGTCTGGTTCTGGTTCCTGATAAGGCTCTTACTTATATCAGCTGCAGACCGGTCCTGGCCCGCCCAGTTATTAGGCACCTCTCCCTGTGCTGACCCCACCCCATTACTGTCAGACTTTCTGCAGGGCTTTCCTTTCAGGCTTTGAACAATCTTGGACCAGCAGGTGTGTCTCTGTGCTGACGCACTGGACTGTCCTGCGGAGGACATGTCTCCTACCGTGCGTCCATCTGTCCCTGCTTCATCTCTACCCTGAAAGCTTTGAGGCTTCCAGAAGAGCCAGGAGGCCAGCAGCAGGAGAGAGAATCCCCAGGCCAGCTCCAGAAGTCGAGCCCAGAAGTGCATCAGCCACCAGCCCCAGCTAAAGCGAGTCCACTCCCCCAGGAGCCCATGAAGCCAGAGCGTAGCATGAGCATGCAGACAGCAGCACAGAGCTCCTAAAATTGCACACACAGCCAACACTCTGCCCAAAATCACCACCAGTCTCCTGCTCCCAGTCCAAGCTTTCCTCCGAGACTCATCAGGAAGTGCTGCATGAGGAAGATGAGGGCAGCGAATCTGAGGGAAAATGTAGCACAGAAACACAAAGCAAACAGCCAGACCCCAGCACAAAGACAAGAACTGCAGAGTGACTGGTACCACTGGGGAAAGGGCTGGTGAGAGCAGGTCAGCAGCAAGGAGGAGGGTGCACTGCAACACAGCCAGTACAGCCACCAGTGGAGGGCGCTCAAGAGTAGGAGGAAACAAACTCACACCTGCTGCTCTCATAGCCAGTATTGGCATGGTCGCTTGAGTCCACACCAGTAAATGTAAAGGTAGGTTGTACAGGGCTATAACTGCAGGACGAGGGAGGACTTTACGTGTACCATATGGGTCAATTAGAAAGAAAGTAGCTCTGATGGACCCTGCTACAAATAAGAGAATGTTAGCCAAAGCCAGAGCCCCCCGATGAGGGCAGTTAGCACCTGGCGAAAGGGTAAGACCAAGGGCAGCACCGGCAAACAGAAGCAGGAAGAGACTGGCTGTTCCATAGATGTGTAGCTCCCAGACAAAAGCGAGAGTCCGGCTCAGATCTCCCCAATACAGGAAGGTTCCGTTGGCTGGGACTACAGTGGGAGAGGGGCCTGGGTTTACAGTCGGAGGGGGTTGCGGGCGGCCCAGAGGGTAGGAGCGGTTTCTGAAGCTTACAGCAGTCTGGTATGTAGGGCTTAACCGTGGCCTTGTCCCGGGTACAACACCAGTGGTAAGAAAGGAAGACGTCCCTGAAAAAGAGAGAGGTATTATTGTGATTGTTATATAGTAATGTATACATTAAGAACATGCCGCTAGAAGGTAGTAGTGATTAAAACTTTGGTTACTGTTTAGTGGCTCCTATTATTTTTTAAAAGTAGATTTTATTTTTTTTATTTTACATTATGTTTTACGTTAAGTTATGTTTTCATTAATAATCATACAAGTTAACCCAATTTCATCTCAAAATTTGGTAGTTTCTCTAGTAGTATGTAATTATATTCTAGTTCTGATACAGATCAAGAATATTCTATTCAGGAAATGCCCAACTTTGTCCTATTTTTGATTTTGTCAGTAAAAATCAGCATCCAATTTTGATACTAATTCACCATTTAGTGTCTGGCTGGGTACAACTTTCATTTCAACTACAGCAGAATAAACAAACTGAGTACACAACGCATTATATTCCTTCCCAAAGAATATTCCTATTTGGACTTGCATAATACATTTTCTCATAGAACAGAACCAGACATAAACAAACGTCTGCGATAAGCCCCCATGTATAATTAAACATGATGCAACTCATCTCCTTGCTCACACAGTGATTTGTGTGACTTAATTGGATTACGTTATATAATTAATAAGAGCATCTGTATTACATAACCACTGTGTCAGCTATCAGTTTGAAAAGGGTAACAGAAAGGTTTATATTATGCTATTTTCTGATCTATGGTATTAGGTTGTCATCAAAAACATATCTGGAGTTCTGTTTTTTTCATTCACACATGTTTAACACACAAGCCCTGCATAGTTGGGCTCAGGTCTTCTCTCAAACAGAAAACACGCCACCTTGTGATGTTATGTGGTAATACAGGAAGTGTTCCACTGTGTTTTTAATCTCCATGCACCTTCCCTAGAATCATTTGAATAATTTCACCTCTGAAATTGTCAATCTCTACTGAACTACAGGTAAAAGGTAGCTGTTACTTGAAAAATACTACATGACATCACAAGGTTGAACAGAGTATTTTGAGCTTTGGAATCACAGACAAATGAATAAACCAGGATTACTCAAACATGTGTGAATGAAACAAAAATATGGTTTTGAGGAGGTAACAGCATTATAACATGGCTCACAAGAGTCCGTTTTGTGTAATATAGGACCATTAACTATATGCTTCTTTTACCTGATTTCATTTAACTCTTGCTGTGTATATTTATATTGTAGCTTAACAGATCCTGTCCTAAAACTGGTTCCCATAGACTGACATCGAGTTATTACTGTTTACTGAAAGCACTCCACCTTTTCTTATGCACAGTGGAAACACCCAAGAGCAGTGTAATCATATGAACATTCATAACTTTAAGGAGAATTGGGTGGTAGCAGACTGTAAAGATAACAGAGGTTATTAAAACACGACACAACTATTTTTGTATTGCATGTTTTATGTATAATAAAATAAATAACAGATTAGGCTAAAATGTTGAAGAGAATGGGTTTGTATGGGAAAATTCTAAACTAAAGGACCAGGTAAACTTGTAAAACTTGCAGAGAAAAGTAGGTCACGATAATTAGAATATCAACTTATCATTCAATATTTGAAAACTGGAACAATATTTTTTAGGGTCAGTATTTATTGTATGTACTTTTTTTTGTAGTAGTGGGAATTTTTTTTGCAATACGAGATTTGAAGATTTGAGCTGTAGAAGGTTGAATAAATAACTTATTACTGATTACTAAAAGTATTGCATTCTGCTATTTAGTTTTTGCAACTCATGTTTTTTTTTTTAATAATGTACATTTTTTTGAGGATAATTCTGCTTTCTGGTTTGGAAACCATCTGACCTCGCAACATTAGAATTCATTCACTAGACGGCAGACGGGTACTTTTTTAAATTTAACCAATCGCTGCTATTTGGTCATGACGTATGTAATGCGTCGCTAACGGGGCTAACTGGTAAATTAAGTTTTTCCCAAATCCTGTAGGAAGAAGGGCAATAACGTCTTTCCCCTTGATAAAATTCACCAAACATTCTTTTTGTTCTGGCTTTAAATCCTTGATCTCGGGAATTGTTGCCAACACAAAATGTATGGCTCTTCGCTGATTGGCTGGTGCCCGAACTTGCATTTCTGGGGTTTTTAAGAACCATCTAGTGTATTCCGATTCTTGACGTAGTCGCTGGAGAGAAATGAAATTGAGCGGAGGCACTAGGTGGCACCAACCTAGCTACCGTTCTCTATTCAACTTAAGGTAAAAGGAGCAGTCAACTTGAAAACTACTGCATGACATCACAAGGTGAAACAGAGTGTTTTAAGATGTGAAGATGTAGATAGACTAATAATAAATGATTACTCAAGCATGTGTGAATGAATCAAAACAACACTCCAGGTATCTTTTTGATGAGGTAACAACATTATAACACGGCTTGAAGCTCACGCGAGTCAGTTTTATGTAACAGGACCTTTATAGGTACCAGTTTGACTACATGTACACATTAACTTAACTTAAGTGTGATAGATGTTGGAAGAACTCAGTCAGAGTCAAACACAGCCGCTAAATTGTGTCCAAACACCATAAAACCTGGCATACAGACTATTAATGACTCACTCAGACATGTGTTTCACTTCCTGTCTCTCTCCTGCACTTTCCTCATCCCACCCATGACATAGGCCGACACTGCATGCACATCACAGCCACTTTTCTTTATTTGTACAAAGGTATGTCTGACTTCCTTCCCAGATTTTGCCTTTTTTTCAGAAGTTAACTCCAGACTTGTTCCAGATGCGGTGATCAAATTTCACAGCTGGATGCATTTAAACTTTCCCCTATCCTTGAGTTCCTCACACACACACACACACGCACACACATACACACACACACTCACTGCCATGGCTGCTGCATGCCCACAAAAGGCAATGGACTTAATGTAAATATCCTATTTCACCTCTGAGGGCAAAGAATCACATATATGTCTACAAAGTCAGATTTTTACGACTCAGTAGAGCTACACATTATATTACTTACTCTCAGATGTAATGAAATGGTATAGTACTTTTTTTTTTAATAAAGATATGGAATGCATATGAACAGGGTATGAGGCAGAACAAAGTCAGGACCCCATCGACTAAACCTGACAAGATTGATGGCCAAAATAAACCAGTTGAACTAAAGCAGTTATAATATTCTAACCACTTCTTGCATTACATTAAATGTCATGGTTGATGGTATGAAGCACTGATCGTATAGAATTAGTGCTTCTCATATAATTTGGGAACCACTGCTAGCCATCATATCTACAAAACCTACTGAAATAATACAACTTTAATAGCACTTTAAACAGCCCATATTACACTATTTTCCACATCAGAAACATACCTGGAGTTGTGTTTTGTTTCATTCACACATGTTTAACACACAAACCCTGCATATTTACCTCTTCTTTCAAAGAGAAAATACTTAGTTCCACCTTGTGTTGTCATGTGGACATACAGGAAGTGCTCCACTGTGTTTCGATAGATCTTCACTAGAATCATTTGTATAATTCAGCTCTGGAATTACCAATCTCTGCTGAACAAAAGGAAAAAGGTAGGTGTTAAATTGACAGCTATTGCTTCATGACATTACAAGGTGGAACAGAGAATTTGGAGGTTTGGAGTTGTAGACAAACTAATAATGCAGGGTTTTTCAAACATGTGTGAATGAAAAAACACAATTCCAAGCATTCCAAACACAGTGCTTTTGATGAGGTTACAACAGTCTAACATAAAAGCTCACAAGTGTAGATATAGGACCTTTATATTCAATGGCCTAAACAACAAAATATATACAGTAATTGCATAAATGAATACATTGCAAAAAACTGTTGTAAAAAAATTCTCTGACTATGAGACTGGAGGTTTTAGTCATGCTGAAGTTGTTGTCGTCACAGTTTTAAACTACTTGTCATGCATTTAATTTTCCATTTACATTTTCAACTACCATCTCTGAGTGCCTCTGTTTTTATGACCACATTCCCACTCCCTACATTTCTAACAGTTTCCCCTTATTGGAAATTCAGCCCAACCTCCCTCATCTGCAGTCACCAGGAGCTGTTATGCTCATATGCACTGCTCCCGTCTGTGTCTGGGCCCACCTGAAACCTAAAGCTCCCCCTAAGTTTGCTTGGTCTACCCTCATATTCCACACAGCATCCACCCCAGTTTCCATAGATCATTTCATCTTTCTGTCTTTGAAGTTGATTCCAGGTTCTTCCAGTAAAGGCATTGCAGCTGCTTAAATGATTAATATGGCATCTCAAATCATAGCGAAAATCAAACCAGTAAAACAAAAGTCTGTCTTCTCTTACCTGTCCTGGTTAACTGAGGACTTGTTGGATCCATAGATGGTCTTGCTAAGGCAGTTTTGTTGGAGAGATTGGATATTTTGGGCAATATTTGCACTGCTTTCCTCGTAGTGGTTGAAGTAGAAGTAGTAGTAGAAGTACTTGGTGTAGTCACTTCTATTGATGTTGTTGTCAGATCAGAGATAATGTATTCCGCAGTGGTTTCTTGCCTTGTGGTGGTTGCTGTGGTTGCTGTAGTCTGTGGAGGCATTAGTTTTCTTGTTGGGCTTCTGTCAGATGATGGAGCATTGGCAGTTAATTCACCTACAATCATAATAAATACAGAGATGTAAATATTATACAGTAAGAAGCATTCACAACTTAATTCATTGTCAAATTTCAAGGTCCTATTATGCAACATTGACTCTTCTGAGTTTTTAGCTATGTTATAATGTGTTACCTCATCAAAAACATACATGGAGTTGTGTTTTGTTTCATTCACAGGTTTGAGTAATCCTGTATTATTACTCTGTCTGCATACCCAAAGCTCAAAATGTTCCATTCTACCTTGATGTAGCAGTAGTTTTCAAGTTAACACTTACCTTTTACCTTTTGTTTAGCAGAGGTTGGAAATTCCAGAGCAGAAATAATGAAAATGATTCTAGTGAAGGTGCATGGTGTTTAAAAATACAGTGGAACACTTGTTTTTACCACATGACATCACAAGGTGAGACAGTGTTTTCAGTTTGAGAGGGGAACTGCAAGGTTTGTGTGTTAAACATGTGTGAAACAAAGCACATCTCCAAGTATGTTTTTGATGAGGAAACAACATCATAGCGTAGATCAGAAAGAAAGAAATGAAAGCATCTGTTTTCTTGTCAAAATAAGAATGTAACATGTAAATTTGCCATGATTAATAAGTGCTTAATCACCAAAATTTAGCAATAATTTAGAACGATATTAATGGTCTGAAGAGCAACTTCAGACACACATAGCAAATTTCACCTTTCTATCACATCATTAAACCTTCCAGAAGTGTTAATTCATTTGAGCATCTGGTATCTCACCTGCAAACACTACCGGTTGAAGTGTTGCTTGTGTGGCCACAGGTGATTCTGTTACCCTTTGCTGATCTTCTTCCTTTGCTGTTGTTGTGCTTTTTGTAACTTCTGGCTTCTTCTCTTCTGTCAGTTGGACTGATGTAGACATATCCACCACTGTTGCTGATGTCCCTTCAAAGGGTACTGTCTGTACTGGTGGCCGATACTGGGCCAGTCCAATCCCATGTGTTCCTGGAGGAAGTAAATGTTCATCTTTGGTTGTTGGAGCATTTCCTGACCCCAAACCTTGCAAATCTGTGTCAAGTCCTTTGTATGTTGCTACAGTAATAGAGGCACCATCCGATGTAGGTTGAGCTATAGCTGTTCCCTTTGTTGTAGAATCTAACTTAGCTTTAGCTCTGGTGATAGCTAGACTTGCTGTATCTGTCCTTGGTCTTGTAATGCTGGTTTGGTTTACAATAGGACCAATGCTTGGGTTTAATGTTGCTTTTGCTAAAGCCCTTGAAGGAGTAGTGGGACGTGCCAATCTCGATCCTGGCTGCACTGTATTGGATAGCCCATTCTGCAGTGTAGCTTTAATCGGGACATCGCTGCGCCCCCTAGTGGGAAAAGGAGGCCAGAATCGTACAGTTTCTTTGGTGGGATTTGGAGAGGAAGTTCTGGGTTGGTTGAGCGAGGAGGAGAAAGAGGAAGAGGTACCGATGACAGTCTGTGCATCTGAAGAGGTGAGAGAGGTGAGGTAGAGTCCCAATACAAAGAGAAATGGTAACGCCATGGTCTGTTGACGGTCTATGGTCAGATTGGTGTTTCTGAGACCTGGATGGTCAAGACATGTTTCCACTCCTGTTCCTGAACAGAAAAAAGAGAGACTGTTAGTACAAATGAAAAGTTTGTTTGTCCACTTCTGTTTTTGTTTGTTAAAGATGCATTATATAACATTTGTAGCAAAGGGTCTGGTATTTGCTTGCTTTCCATGTCATGTTACACAATATGGCATTAAAGTTATCTCCATGGAGTCTGGTGTTTTTATTTACCATAGTTATTTTGTCCATAAATACATTTCTATTCCTAATTGGTGGTTCTACAGTGTGATGACAGGGGCAAGGGCCAGATTTCCCTATTGATCACATTGTACTTTACCATGAAATATCCAAAAGGTAAATTCACAAATGTTGAACCTTGTGTTTTCAATTAGTAACCAAACCCGACTCTCTGTATTACAACATAATTTTGCATTTTAAGATTAACTGCCCCCCATCTGTATTAATTAATATTGCTATATAGAATGCTGTAATGTTATCTGAAACCCAGCAATGTGGAACTCAGCTCCAAATTCGCCCCATTAGCATCATAAGCTTCATTTGACTGGAGCCGAGCACTACGAGTGACGTCACACTCCCTGCATTTCTTTATACAGTTTATGATACAGACATAAAAAATGTACGCACTAACTATTGGTACTTTTATCATCAAGCATTTCCAAAAGTATTTTGTGTAACTGATGTATAACCGTAGCAATTCTGGAGTGGACCAGTAAAGTGGGGGATTGTGGGAGTGATAGAGACAGAGGGCCATTCTTTCCAGTAAGAATCTGCAGTGACACACAGAAAAGACATGCAAATTTCAGCCAAAGAGAATGTGACTCAGATGGCCAGAGGATCGAAGCTTCATCATCTTTGCTGAGACCCGAGTACTTGATGAGTACAGGGGTAGAAAATAGAACAGGTGGTAAGTATTGGGCAGTTTCAGGGTCAAGTCAATGAAACTTTCACAGGGTTCTGCAGCATGACACCAGAAGTACCCAGGGTGTGGTGAGGTGTATGGTTACATGGCACATGCCTGGCCACATAGCAAAGCACAAAAAATTAGCTCATCTTTTAAACGAGTAAACAAGTTGCCCCATTTCAAAATATTGTCGCACTGTGAAAATACAAATACATTTCCTATTTTTGGACAGATTTATTACATGCTTTGAGCTATTAAATATTTCTGAATGACAAGCATCTATATTCAGTGATGAGAAGAATACTTTTAGAATGTATTTAGTCACAGAATATTGATTACTTGTATTAAAATGTATTTTGTAGCATATTCTGATCCATGGTACAATCAGAGTATTCTGAATACTTAGAATACTTTTACACTGATTTACATTTTAATTATAGTGTCAAAATGCAACATGGGATTAAAAAGTGCTTCATATTTGTTTCAAGGTTTGTTAAACATTTCCGTTTGAAGCATAAATTGCATGACCAAGTAGGGCAATGTAGTTCTTTGATTTTAAAAAGTAACTGTATTCTGAATACCACTAAGTGAAAAAGTAACAGTACCAGAATACAGCTCAAACATACAACTTCCCAACACTGTCCATTTTGCTGGCACCATATTTATTACACACTATTAAAGAGAGATTAATTGTAAAAATGGCAAACATTCATAATCATTGTTTATATGATCTACTTCTAACTGGCTGATGCATTATTGGATCATTATAATCAGTTATTATCAGCTAGCTCCTATGTAATGCTACTAATGCTAAAGGTATTCACAGATGTGAGTTCATTGGAGATGTGACACAGAGAGCCCACAGACTCAGGACTATTATGCAACTGCACGAGTCATCCACGCACCCAGTTGCCAGCCGCATCCCCTGAACCATCACCATCCACTACCACCTTTACAATTTCAGACTGCACTTATATAAAGCTCTGCCTCCTCCTGTGAGTCAGAGAGTGAGACTGCCCCAGGGAAGAACAGCACAATCACACTGAAACTTCACCGAAACACAGGGAAGCACTGGAAATAGAAATCTGTGCCTTTGGGGCTGTTTAGTCATTTGCAGAGATGGAGGGTAACGAGATACCTTTATCAGGTACAGTGCAAATTGTAATAGCTGCAGTTTTACTAGTTAATTTGCTCATTGCCCAACATTCTTTAAATATAAACTCTTTGTATTCTGCATCAACACTGACTTCCAAGGCATCTTTACATTAGATGCCCTTACTCTTCTTAACAAAACATGGTTAATTTATTTGGGTATATACGTTTTTGTATATTTATGGAGAATATTTGTATGGGAACATGGATAACGCATGGCTGTGGGCTGAGCATTGCACGGAATCTTACAGCTAATTGTAAGGATGGTTCAAATAAGACATTGCAAATCAGGTTAGTGCCCTTAATATCTCAATAAATGAAATTGTTATAGTAGTAATTCCTGTGTTGCAATAGATATACAATATTTAGTCTGATCAACAAAAATGCACCTTTCCATAAATTGAAATGAGTTTTTTCATCTTGTAGTATGTGCTTTATTTTCTACCTGGCTAAGTAGTTAGAGTAGTATTAATTTAAGTTGATTTAGTACTATTTAATTAACTCCTGCACTACTGGCACACTAAAGGCCTGTTTGCAGCTGTGTAGCCCAGTTACAGCGCAGAAAGCTAACGTGTGAATATTGAGCAGGTGGAGAACAAAGAAGTGTTTGCATCATATGTTTAGGTGTGTGCATGGGGTCAGTCAGCACCAGGAAGTCACAGAACCAAAGTATGTGAGCCATTTGGTCAGTATTAAAGCCATTCCTGCTTGTAGCCTGCTAAACTCTTGCACAAGAAGGACAGCCAGAGAAAAAATCTGCCACATCACATATTCACAACTTTCACAGAGAGCAGTGCATCATACGATGTACTCAAATGTACAAACACGGGAGCTATCCACCTCTGCACCTTCTGTCAAGGCCTGATGTAGTCCAGCCAGCCACTATTGGCCAGTTCCACTGGAGATTAGTCTGTGTTTTTTTTTTTCTTCTATCATTTCCTGTTTCCTATTAAACTGTAGGTACTTCACGTAACTATGTAGCTGGTTCTGCTTAGGACTGAAAGAGAGATAAGGAGAGAGGAGGTGGATGCAAGTATGCACAGATAATCATAAAGGAATAGGGGCTGTTATGTAATGTGACAATAAATGGTAGAAAATTTAGATTAAAGATTAAACATGTGATATTTGACTTTTTTATATATATATAAAAAAAAAAGAAGAATGAGAATGAGAATGAATTTTCTGGTGAGAACATTGCTTGAAGGAGGCATGCTGTTCCCCATGTTGTTGCTGAGCTGTGCAGTCAGGTGTGCAGTCCCTGGCAGACAGCGATAAACAGCAGCTCTATTGAGTAATGTCTCTGAGTAAACAAACCCACATCATCCAAAGTAATCCAACGGGGCTACGTGCTCCACTCCAGAAAACAGAGGCCAATGGGACTTACAGGGCATTCAGCCGAACAAGAAACTTAGATTTATCTTAACTTAAATCTTGAAGAATTTACAGTATTGACAACACATACCAAGATGAGAATGTCTGAAAACACCAATTACAATGCAGAGGAAACATGAACTATTATATTATTTGTTCATTTTTTTAAAAAGTGCTCAGGTTTAGTGAGAGTTTCTATAAAGTAAATAGAAGTAAATTACATTATGACAGTTGTAGTACTGTATTTATGTGTGTAAATCCAAGTTTGTATTTACAGAGACAAGGTATATGTGCAGATTCTAAATCACATAATCTTCCCTGACCCTAGTAATTTAGTTTTGGTTTATTTTATTGAGACATTCTCCATTTACAGTGTATATTACATGACAATAATTTTTACCTTGGACCAATATAGAGAAACATGAGGAATTTGAGTCGTTCATGAGCTAATATGGTCATGTCTTCTCTGAGCTAGTCCCAGTAGATCAGTGTGAAGAACTCACAATTTACATTAGGTTCCATAAATGGCTTTACTTCACTGAGTTTATACACCCTGGCATTGAGTTTCCACTAACATTAACATAAACAGGGCAAATGATTGTATAGGTGCACATTCCAAGTAATTCAACCTGTCCTAACAGCAAGAATGGATTTTATTCTAATTAAATTGGGTGCACTACATTCATACATTTTCATATTTGGATGAAATAGTCATTCAATTTGTGCTCAGGTATTTTCAAAATGTTTCAATACAGTAAACATGCTTAGGGCTTTGGAGTAAAGTGACAGTAGTTGTTGTAGTACTTTTCATAGTTTTAAAGGTGTACAGTGTAACCTTTCTAGTGAAGTCTCTGCCACTTGCTTATGTCCATGAAGATGTTACTGTGTTGCTTAGAATGTACCACAGTATACCATTAACTATCTCCATCAAGACAAGCAGATGAAGACACCAGGCCAATAAATTATGGTCCAAACTGTAGTATGAATGCATATTTTTAAGGTATTGTGTATCAATAATAAAAAGCCTGTAATTAAACGAATGCATGTTTAATGCCATATTGTGGAACATTCCTGGTAAAGTAATAACTTCAGTGAAGACAAGCAGATGGTGGAAATTCCATTGGAAAAATAGTATAGTGTATCTATAGAGAAAATGAAGTGTAGTTGTTAAAGTTACAGTAGGGGAAGAAATTATAGAAGAATCATTGAATAACAGCTGGATAAACAAGTGATCTCTCTGTAATAGTTGTAGTAAGTTTTGTAGATTTTACTATGATATGAAAGTTGCATTCACTCATGGTACCACAACACATTATTGAGTACTTTCACGTCTACTTTACAGTAAACATATGTTACTTTGCAGTACTTCTTATATCCCCATCATCTCTCCTTCCGCCATATCTGCACAGACTAAACACTGTCTCCCACCCCATTCATTCCTTATGGTAGAGAAAGCAGATGGGTGCACACTCACACACTATGTATTTTTATCAGGCTCTGCCCCAGAGGCCAAGGGTCACATGGCTCTATATTTAATTTTCTGGGTTGAGCATGTTGTATAGATGTCGTCACTTTCTCACACACAGTAAATC